CGCATCACAGATGAAGTGTCAGCGCGCATGCAGAAGGCTCGGTTGGCATTTGCCAACTTGAAGGATCTATGGCGCCGTCGCGACATCCGTCCATCCGTGAAGAATTCTTTTTGCACTGATCAAGATTTTCACTTCACTGTATTGCGTCGTACGATGAGGTTTTTGCAGACCTACCTTTAATTCAAGAAATACGGAGACCTGATCTCTGTTATGATTGACGTTGTCGCCTTGATATTGGACTCAAAACGGGAATCCGCACCATGCAGTGTAAGCTGCTAAACCTACAGTCTACTGTATTTTTATATTTTACACACGTCTGGGTCTAAACTGTGCGAAACAAGTCATAATTCAATGATCTTCATAAAAAGAAAACGGCGTGATACTGCCCGGTTTCTCAGGCCAAGCGGGTAAATTTTCTCGAGAAATGCGCATCCAGAACCTTCGGCTAGTCAAAGCCTGATCCTCAAGACAAGCAGGTGTGTGAGAACCGCAATACATTGGATTCCTGTGTTCAGTTCACCGAACCATACTTCTTTTGGACGGAGTCAAACGTCCAGGATGCCTAATCGAGCCGGTGATCACCGCCACAACCGGGAACTTGTGGGCGAGTGTGTTACGCCTCATCTTGGTTGGTTGGTATGATTTAGGGCTTTTAGCCAGCTGCCTTAGGTGAACTACCAGGGGTCCACCAAACCGGTTGTGGCCCCGAATTTCGGCTATTTGTCCTCTCACTTTGGTAGGATAACACTGCCACGAGAAAGCACTGAGTAGGGCTTGGTCAGCATTTCACGAGGTGCGAGGGAAGGGGGACCAGCCACAATTCATGACAGCCACCCCCAACTATACTGAGGCTTTCGGAGGCGGGATCAGAGTGTGGAAGAAAATCGTGTCACGATATACTGTGAATCGGTCTCAAAACGCCGCCCCTGGGTCGCGATGGCTCTTTGGTAGGAGATTGTTTTTGATGTACGAAACTGACCTTGATAAAGTTATTGTATACTTTTAATGCATTTAATACGCAGGTTATACGATTCGAATAATTTACGTGTGCTATTGCATTCGGAGTTGTTCCATTTTGGGATTTCGGTATTGTGCGAATTCCTGAACTGCATTTCGAATTCTGTTCTCTATACTACGTAGTTGTATAAGATTATAAATAAATGAACAGCAACACTAACACTGGATAGCCCTTAGCAATTACCTAGATTACTTGAGTCCGAGGGTCTGTGAATACATCATATTAAAAAGTAAAAAATCTTAGTATCTAAAGTTTTAGTTTAAATGTTGAGAGTTTACTAACCATTCCGGAAGGAACTCAAACACAAAAGACGACTATGTAAAGAATGCCTCCGATTAGAAAATATAAAAAAAATTTCACGTATGCTTAATTTCGCTGTAGGTGCTATGTTACACATTGCATGTTTCATTTTGGTGACAAAGCAATATCTCTTCACGAAAGAGTCCACATGCTCATTTATTTGTATGAGAGATTAGATCCATCCTATCTAGTCACTGTTTCGCGGTACGATTT